ATTTTTTTTTTCTACATCTGATACAGATTGTTTGTAGTCTGCAGTTGTTTAAAAATATATTGGCTGTTACAAGAGACACCAAAAAATTAGGTGTCTACAGGAAGAATTGGTGTGCTATTCTTAAAGGAACTTCTAAGTCTTCCTGAATGAAAAATCAAACAGTATCTAATACTGGCAATTTTCCTCTGTCTGCTGCTAGAACTTATTGGCCAACTAGGTCAGACATTATTAAAGTTCAAGTGGCCCAGTGGGAAAAGTAATGGCCTTACGCTACTATGAATTTTAAATGCTGCCATTTCTATGTATTGCACCATCATCTGTTCTCGCACATCACTAAATTGTATAGAAGTTGTGGGACCAAGCAGTGTCAAGGTCATAGAAGTGATGACTCTTCTCAAGTAGCCTTTGCTGAGCTTTGTCATACAGTTATACTCATAACCCTGGCTATGGGTAGCAAAGTTGTATGCACATGCCTGAATTAAACCATTTTATTTTCGTTGAATACTGTAAGTCTGCAATGCATGATATCTTTCTCCTCAGAATCTTTACTTCTGGGTATTTTTTTTATCCTACCAAAGGTATGAAATTGACTTTGAGGCAAAGGCAATTTTTAGGGATCTGTGTTTAAATCTTTTGAGTTGTTGTGCAGCTTACCGAACTGAATATCAGAGAATTTCTAAGCTGATTAATGCTGTTGTCCAGATGATCTTGAACTTCATCTTGATTTTAAATGTAATCATACTAAGTCTGAAACGAGCATATCATCACATATTTATTGTCATATATACATATGTATGTATATACACACTGCAGAAGAAGAAGAAATTTGTAGTGGGAGTATTTTCTCTACAGCATTATATTGATTTCATAGTTGCCAAAGTAGTAGCTACTCGTAATGCTTCATTGCGTAGAAGGCTTCTTATACAGAAATAATAAAACTGGTTTKTATTCTCAACATGAACGGGTGTAGCTGCTTCTTAGCCAGAGTTTTGTATCAATTCTAGATACAAAAATGGCTTATATGAAGTAGTAACTTACCTGTTACTACTTTGTATATGAATACTCCTTTCAAACCAGAACATTTTTGAAACACTCTCCAGGGTTTATAGCATCCATCCGCTAACRAATTCTGGGATTGATTGAAAGGTAATGGTCTAAGTTTTATGCTTACAGAGTAAATTACCAAAGGGCATATTCTTTTTCCAGCACCAAACTTGAAGTTCTCTTTCTAGCTTGACTGTTCTCTAAGTTCTTAGAGATAATTTCTCTTATCCCTTGTTCTGGACTGACTTGGGAATCCTGTTCTAAATCTTGGATTCRTATGTTAGAGATAACTTTGATAACTGTAATACATTTTATTTATGACAAGCAAATTTTTATATCTTGATATCACTCAGAACCCAGAAATTACACTTCATTTTTTTAAAAATAAAAGTAATTTTATCTTTTAAAAATGGGCATTTTTAGCTGACCTTGGATTTCACAATTTTCTGCCTAAATTTGTTTATGTATTGACAAGAGCGCAAAGTGTGTCAGGCATTCAGGTGGAAGTATGCCACTGACATCAACACCCAGTAACAAATGGTAAATTGGTTCATTATGGATGCCAGTATACAAGAAAAAGAGGATATCTCAAGAGCAAGGCTCAACACTTTGAACAGAGCTCTAGGAATTTGATTAATTACCAGCTGGAATTGCAGAAGAAAATGTTTCCGTGAAAATGGTTGCTACAGAACTTAAAAGAAAAATTGCTTCTTTTCCTGGAAAAAATATTTAGTTCTACAGGAGGGGTAAAAAAGTTAATTATTTAAATGAGGTGGTACTGAGAATTATGACTTTTGGATTTTTTGTTTGTTTGTTTCAGAAAATCAGCAATTCTGTACCTTGGCTCTACAGTTGTTTCTCAACAGCAGAGTTTGCTTCACATAAACGTCTATATTCCTAGTCTTTAAGCCATGAGGCTTACTATGAAGTTTATTCCATGAAAGGCAATAACGCAGCACTCAAATGTTACTTTGAATAAAAAAMCATTTTCATTGTTACATTTGTTTTCCTGGATAGCTCAGCTATATTCACTGGTCTGCTCATTTGTTGCTTTGAAATCTTGTATAGAAGCATTAGAGGATGGATGGAGCCCTATGAATTTAGTTGTTCCTGTGGAAGTAATGATGACTTCCATGTCAGTATTCCTGTGTCTGTGTCAGCAGTTGGGATCATGCTGTCTTGCAATGCAAGTGCATGTTCATGACTTCTCTCTCCAAGTACATAGTAGTGTCTTTTTTAGGACTTTCTGAAACGGTGTTTCAGTTTTTGCTCAGTGGGATCTTGCAATAGATGCTCTGTCTATGTTTTTTAGGGAACTATTTCATTTTTGCCAGGAAGATGTGTCAATGGAATTGTAGCAAGGAAACAGTGAGTGGCAGATGAGTGCTTTTAGTGCTTAAGACAGGAACTATGTTAACCAGAAGAAACATGAAGCAGCCATGTGAAGATATAAATCCAATTCTGGAGAAGGAAAAAGATCATCTGGTAGTAAGACTTCGAAATTCTTCGAATGGTGTTATCGAAATAATTCCCTGCCACTGTGGGAAAGTTTTTGTAGTGCAATCCAGTGTATATCCAACTTGCACTGTTTTTGAAATTAGTTTTTTTAATATTCTTGCTAAGTCCTAAATTATCTGAACAGTTGGAAGCATAGGAGAGGAGTGTTGAACTAAATTGAAGTAGAAGGTCAAAATCTGAGGACACCAAGGGGACAAATAAAATGGGCTGGAATAAGAGAAACATTTAGTTTTGAAAAGACCTTAAAGGTCATCAAGTCCCAGCCATTAACCTAGCATTTCCAAGTCTGCCATTAAAGGTGGAGTGTGAAGGGAGGGATAACAGTGTAAGTTTCTTTTGATATGTGAGTGGATATAATAGGATAATGGGAGAATAAGTATGGTTATTATACCAGGRGAAGCCTAAAACCACAAAATTGTTATGTCAGTGGAGGAGAACTTAAACCAGAAATCTAGTCAAATATTGTCCTATTCTGTTTTGGGTTTCTTCCCACATCTGTCTCTAAATTCAGTTCTACCATTATGGCCAGGTAAATCTACAAGGTAGTAATAGTTATGTGGTGAGCCATTAGGGGGCCATATGTATCCAACTTATTTATAGTCTGCAGGGCTGGGTTTTTTTTTTAATCAACTTGAAATATMTTACCTTTCTGTATGTGTGGCGCCTGCATAAGTATATAATCTTTATTTCTTTTCTTTGTTCACCTTCTACTGATTACATGTGCAGGTTGCAGGTTGTCAGTATTGGATTGTGCACCTTTTGGAGAGGCATTGTGGTATGTAACTCCTGGCCTCTGTCACATTATGTATATTTATTATAAATATTTATTACTAAAATACTATTGATTTGATTTAAATACAAATATTTAAATTCTTTACTAGGTTGTACTTATTTTTTYTGTAATCCATTAATTTAATAAATCTGTAGATTAGTCAGTTTCTATTGCTGTCATTTTTCTACYGTTTTAGCATTCAATCCCAATACTCGTGGTGAGCATCCCATATGTAAAACACCAAAGATCAAGGCTGAGCTTACTGCTGTCACACAGATGTTGTGCTGGGTAGACAAGTCCAGAATGTAGTTTTGGCAAAGATGCTGGAAGCACAGCTATGGATAAAACGTATTTGTAAGCTCTTTATATAGTACTGCMTTAATCTAGTCACTTTATTCCTGATTCTTCAACTGCTTGGTTTAGGTGTAACTTTGTATCATGCTGCATATACATGCTATCTATTTAAACTTGATCAAAGAATTTAGGTTTTTTGTGCCTTACTGTTCCATTTTGAAAGTGGGAGTGGGACTTCGCTATCTTAAATTAGTATTTCTGAAGTATGACGGTTGGAAGGAGAAGGGTCATTTATGTATGGAGAGAACATGTACTTTCAATGTAATTGTATGGTACCGGTGTTAAATTCACATACAAGAAATCTGACAGAAGATTGAGATTTTAGACATTGCAGAATCTTTGAACTACCTATGCTGTGCCTTAGTAGGTAAATTCATGAAAGGAAAAATTGTTAATTATTCATAATGCTTTGCTGTACCATAAAACTCTATTTATTGAGAATGTAATTTGTTCAAGTTGCATGTAGTAGAAAAATATATCAGGAGTAATTAATAGTATTCAGGATGTGATGAGGTAGATATATCCACAGAGGACAATTGAAAACAGTAGCGGTGTGGTATTGATTGCCTTTCAGAGGAAAAAAATCTTGTCTCGTTTCTAAATGTTAACAATTCAGAGAGAAAAATTCCCACTTGGGAAGAATGCTTTCCAGGTTGCTTCATTGCCAGGTGTTTGACATTGAGTGGAGCCTTAGATGAATGAAGCTTATGGCAGCTTTTGGAAATGACCGACTCTGGGGAATCTTGGCTTCCTGCTGTGAAAGTTTCCATTTTCAAAGCACATTAGTTTCAGTGGGAATGTTCCACTGGTCCCATATGCTACTTCTGACAGAGGGGGAAGTTTTTAACCTGAATATGAGACAGCTACTGAAGAAGTTCCCTTGCTGCTAACAAAATGAATTTCAATATGTTGCCAATGAACAAGCGGCATGTTCCCAACTGCTGATGGAATTTAACCCCATCAATTATTAATGGAAATTTTGCTTTAATTTCCTTTTTTTTTTCTGCTACCTTTTAGCTCCACTACCGGCTCCTGGTAGGACTTTTGGGGTCTGAAGCTGTATCACCCAAAGAATATGCTAGTTTGATTTGAAATTCTTGCTGTATTTTCCTCCCCTCCCTCATATGCTCTCTCCTTGACCTAGCAGCAGGAAGCCTTTGTCTGAGGTGTTCATCTGGAACAACTTTTCCACACTTGTTTTCATGTTCTGTTAGATTACAGGGCAGCAGGCCTACCTTTGAAGCTCCGTTCTCTTTTGTTTCTTTGCAGTGCACTCCAGTAATTAACTTTGTCCTTCTTTTATTTGTTCCAGTCAATCGCAGTCCACTCTGCTGAGCATCTTCTCCCAGGAGTACCAGGTTAGAAGTTTTCTCCTTTGTGAGGGTTGACAGGTGCCTAATTGAATGATGAATGTCCCTTTATTTCTTTGTAATTGAACTGCCAGCTTTCTGATTGGTTTGGAGGATGTTCCTTTTTCCACATCAAGCACCGCCTGAGTCTCAGTGGATGGCTGCCAAGCCTACCCATCCATCTGTCTAATAACATCTAGCCTTTGCTTATTTGGTGGACCTGTAATAAATTATGCTAAACCATTATTATTCTGACAATAATAATTTCCCTGTGTTGCGTGGTTCCATGTGCTAAATGTTTGCTGACTTGCACTGTCAGTGCTGCTTTCCATTGCTGACAGAGATGATGATAAATGACCATTGCCGGAGTGGCAGAAGGCAAGAGAGGCAGAAAATGGAGTCATTTATCATGAGATGACAGGTGTCAGTCAAGTGGCAAGTCTCTATGGAATTACTTTTTGTAGTTTTTCAAATAAGTTGTTTTTAAGCAATGTTCTTCCCGGTTAAAAATGCCAATTGAATTGTAAACCTAGAGTGCACCAGACTTAGATGGAATTGAATTGAGGGAAAATTAATACAAAGGTTGRGAGAGAGAACAAGTTTTTCTTTGCCCTCAGCAGCCTTCAGTAAACTTATTTAGATTCAATTATTGTGACCTTATTGGCTTTTACATATGGTACATTGCAGTACAGTCTGAAGACGTTCACTTCAATAGGTAGATTGAATGTCATTTCTGTGCAGAATCTAAAAACACGATTCACATCTATCAAAGTGTAGCCAAAGATCRTGTGTTTGTGTAGTCAATGATTTCTGTGTTTTGATCTATGACACATATGTAAAGCCCTTTGGTTTTTTCTTCATTTTTCTAGAAACAAATCAAAAGAACACATGCCAAGCATCACACTGCTGAAGCTATCGAAACTTACTACCAAAGGTATGACCACCCCACCCCATTTAAAGCTCTCATCATAGCTACTGGTTTTTATGCCAGTTGGGAGAAAATTAGCTTATGAAGCTAATTTTCTGTAAAAATAAATTAAGAATTTGGGATGGGGAGTACAGAATGGTTCACCTAATTTTTTTTTTCACTGAAAATGCAGAAATTTTTCAGCATGTGGTCATTCTGAATAAGAAAGAGTTTACTTCCCTAAGTCAGGATAAGCATTATGTGATAGCATTTATTATGTATTGCCTATAGTTTGTAATTTTTAGGATTTCTGTGTCAAGACTAATTTTGATGACAACTTCCTTACAGCAAGAGAGCTTGTTCTGTTACAGTTGCTTGTTTAAAACAACATTTGTGTTACATTACAAAAACTTACATATGCATGTGTTGCCAGTTAAAGCACTAATTTTTAGATCACTCCTGTTTTATCAACAGAAGTGTCAGAAATAGTTTTTAAGGGAGGATGAAAACCTTTATGTCATTTTACAATTGTTTGCATCTTAAGCTAATAAATTGTGTTTGCTACACCTTATAGTTTGTCTGTTAGTTCTAGAGGCTTTACTAAAAATATTCCAATGACATAATTGGGGCATACTGATAACAGGTAAAGAAATGCAATTAAARTATTACTCTGTAGATTGACATATCTGAAGAGCATGCATGGCAAGTGAATTCATACTTGTGATTATGTATGTCTGATATTCGTGCTTAATACTAATCTGCATGAATCAAGAAAATAAACAAAGAGCCTTCTTTTGTAAACAATTAACTGTGCTTCCACCAGAGTCATATGTTTAAAACCTAACCACAGCCTCATTGTATCAGGCACTGGTTTAGAATACCTAGTGTGAAGTGTGGATGTTTGATTTTGTTTTTTTAGTAGTTGTATTGTTCTGTAAAATTTGTACTGGATCGCATAACATTTTTCCTTGGGCTGATTGTTGTTTAGGGAGAATATAGGTTTAAAATTTTGTTGTGCCAAAAACTATGCATATACAGTACTATTTAAAATTATTTTTCACTAACTCAGTTTCAGTGAAGGGGTCTGTGGTAATTGTAACTGCTGTGTAAGTAACCCTTTTCTTAGAACATGTGTAAATCACTAGTTCCAGCAACTTCAACTTGAAACATGGGACCAAATTTTGCTTTATGCAAAGCAGCAGTTGTATTGGTGTCAGTAGGGKTGTATGTATGATTAAGTTTGTCTCGCATCAGGTAGGAGGATTTGGTCTCCTGTCTTCTTCTGCAGTCTGAAGTATGATAGCAGTACATGGCTAATGCATTATGTATGAGGCTGTGTGGTAGTGGTAGGGAAAATCATTCTTTATGCTATTTCTGGGTATGTCATTTTGCAAGTGTATTAACATGGCTGAATAAAATGCACATGTTTTAAAATCAGAGGTGTTCTGGTCAATAGTTAGAAAACTCATCTCAATCCTGTTTTAGTAGATTTACTGTGCAGTATGTTTAGTAAGCTACAGAAGCAGACAACTTGAATTAGAAGCCACTTTGAAAAGCTTCAGGCATAAACATGACAAACATGTCTTCTCCTCTGCTCTTCTCTAACATCCACTTTACTGCTGTAAACCCCRGTCTGGGTGCTATGCTCCTTACTATTTCTGCTACCATACAAGCAGATAATTGTGCTGTCATTGCTTTCTTTGGTCAGAAACTGCCAGGTGTTGAAGGTAGTCATTTCCAGCATTCCAAATTAGGAGCAAGTAAAATAGTTGATTAGAGTAGTTTCTGCTGTTCTGCTGAGACTTACTAGTCAGAAACTTAGGCAAGATTATGAGGAGGATCAGCAGGTTTTCAGAACAGTATTGCCATCAGCATGTGAGACCTGTTAGTCTGTAATGGAGTAGCCAGAAATGTTAGAAATATCTGACAGACATTTACCTCATGGTCACCATAGTGTTGCTGTTCGATCATCTAGATGCATGTTTGAGAACATTATTCTAAAGTACATTTTCCTGGTTATATATTTCGTGTATGAGCTCTCATTTTCTGCTACAAATTTTCCATGTTTAAACATACAAGAGGCACTTTGTTTTGTGRTGGGGGTTTATGTGGAACTAAAATAGATTACAGCAAAAAGCTTTTTTCATTTCCTTAATTCATTAAGCCTCAGAAAAACTTGCAAGCAAAAAGCCCTTTATCTAATCTTACGTGAAGGGGTTTTATAAAGGTGTTACACCCATTCCTCAGAAAGGTAAAAATGATAAAGAATTTTAATGTCTGTAACTAATGAGCAGAAGAGTGTCTTCTGATGGATAGATAATGATAAAGCTGGAAAGGCTGTGGCCTTCTAATGATGTTAGTAATGATGTGCTATGCGAATACAGATAGGATAAACGAGCAGGTTCAAATGTTGGTAACTATTGTTCTTTTYCACATGGCTGCAAAGCACGAAGTAGCTTTCAATATCATAGCTCCTCCACATCAGCTCTGAACACATGCTTCAGGCTTTATCGAGATGTAACTATGAAGTAGTGAAAGTAAGAGAAGTGTGGATGGCAACGTGGTGTGAAGCGATGGTCAGAAACATGGTTTTGTAATACCCTCAACCAGAAACATTAAGCCTTTGCCCCTGATAGGATAATGACTTTCTAGCAACCTGTATTGAATCCTGAATATTTCTTCTTTTGCTTTCTCTTCAGAATATTAATTTTATTGTTAGACTGATTTCACTGAAGTAAGCCTTTAAACTACAGTAAAGTTGATAAAATCTGGATTATATTGGAGAATTTACCTTTTTTTGAATAGTAGTCAGTTGAGTAAGTGCACCTTCATAGTTGAAAGTCATGTGGAACCAAAAACCTTTACTGTGAATAATTGAGGTTTGTTTATCTGTGATGCACCTTTAAGTAGTACTGATATAATTTATTTGTGTGTCATTAGGCCACATTTTTTAAAATTTCTTAAAATTTGATRTATTGGGTTTTTTACCAGTGACTTCATTGAGATGGATATATTTTGCAGATGAAAAGAATAGGAGACAACCCTGAAGAGTTAGTGATTGCTTAAAATACTTATTTCTTAAGAGATTTCCCATTAAATACTCTGTACTGGGGTATTTTTCCCCTAATGAAAAAGATTCACAAGGGATGCTGACATGTATAAACTGGTCTTTTCTTACCACTGCAAATTACCTGGTTTTGTGTTGTCTAGGTACCTGAATGGGGTGATGAAAAATTCAGCTGCCCCAGTATTACTGGACCTGGCCAATGAGGTAATCGTCTTTGCTTTTCTCTTTAATCTTCCAGTGTAAAACCTGAGGGGCATATCTACCATGACTTTAGTGAGAAATGTAATTAACCTAGGAAAAAAAAATGGTTTCAAGGCACATTAGACATTTAAAATGATTCCCCAGTCTGTTAGTACTTAAAATAATTAGACAAAAAGCCACATTTATTAATAAATCAGTTAATGTAATTAGTCTCTTAACTTCAAGGCGAATGTGTAGGATACCCTCAATTTGTATTTTGCTGAAAATTTCAGACTGTAGATCTTTAATGCATAAACTTACAAAAAATCCTCACATTGATTTAATGGAGTTCTATCAGTTTGATACCTTGTTTTTAATAACAAAACCCATCTAAGCCACTACTGTTTTTTAGTAATAGGAAGCCTTAAAATAGATAATTTTCCTGACTCCATTTATTTGTGTTCGTACACATTAGAGGATGGCTAATGAAAACTAGTTAATGTAAAGCACTTAAGTAGAGTAAATTCCTSAGTGTATCAAAAGTTCTGTCCAGATGCCATTAAAGTCTTGACAAATTTATTGATGCTGTTTATTAACTAGAATATGAATTTGCTTATTTATACAAGGTGTTATTTGTATTAAAAATTGCCATCTAAGCACTACCTTAAARAAGAGGTTAAAAGTTTGGAAGAGTGGCAAGGAGTTTCCTAGAAAAAAAACTTGAATACCTACTTTTAAACTCTAAAATATTAATTTACCATAATAGTAACAGTACAATAGCTGATACTCCCTGGAACTGCTTATGCAGTCCTCAAAGGGATAGAAGGAAATGTATGCTGTTTTGTGTTGCATTTTAATAGCAAATGTAAGAAGGAAGCAGAAAATGAGTGTTTGCATTAAAAATGATATGGCACTATGAACATTAAGTGTAGCAATAGCAGCAAGTTCTGCATGTTACATTAGTAAAAAAGAACATTTTTTCTTTGATGTACATTGCTGCAGCCAGCAAATGAGTGATTACCTATCAATTACTGGAAGGTTTTAATGGTCTGTGAAGTGTCTGTGTAACCTGATCATACAGTTAGCATAGAATAAAGCATTTATTTCATATTAGTGGTAATGTGTAGCTTCTTACCATCTCTGGAAAAGACAAGTCTTGAAGTACTGAGAATAGAGTGTACTTTACATAAATAAGTACAATCTTATTAAGAATTTACATAAACATCCCGATGCATGATATATTGCACCCATATTATATGGGAACTGTCATAAAAATATTTCAAGCACAAAGTAATATATCTGTTACTGGTTCTTTGTATATTTTTCCCATTGATTTAGAGATGATGCATATAATTTCTGACTCCAGTGAGCATATCTTTGTTTATATTTCACTAATGCATTTTTGCAATTCAGATCAAAGATATCTGCAGTTCAAAAATAAATAAAAATTAAATCTAAGAGAAAGGAAAGATGCATAAAGAACTTATCTACTTCTGGTTTTGTAGTAGCAGGTATATGAGAAAGGCAATGCATTTTGTGACTGCCGCCTAATGCATTAGGGAAACGTGGCAATAACCAGCACCAGATTACTGCTTCCAAACAATCAAGCTGCCATTTTTATATGATAGTTAATATTTAAATGACATACTCTTGCATCTGCTGACAATTGATGTAATGGTAATACTTTATGAGTCAATATATATTTAATCAGTGGAAACTGTAAAAATTGATGAGAAATATATAACATCGCTGCATTACAGTGTGTAGCTGTTCTGTTAAATAGGAGAAGCTCCATATTGTTATCTTTTGGGATTGTTTTTTGAGGGTTTATAAAACTACTTCTAATTCTTTTTTAAAGTAAATTATGTGCTAGCTGTTCGTATTATATATATATTACAAAAACACTAAAGTAAACCACATTTTTGTTTGAAATAATAAAATTAGTCACTGTTCTCTTCATACAAATATTTTCAAGTGAGATTTGAAGCACTATGAATTTTACTTACATGCTAAATTCTGACGTGAAGCATGATGGCCCTATTTCAAAGAAAGATGGACACATGATTAATATGAAAATTAGGGCGATGCAAGTACCTGAACTAATAAGGTAGTCCTTATTCAGGCTGGACTACCTTCAGTAATTTCACCATTTTTCATGTGTCAGCTCTGATGTGGGTTACTGGAAATAAGCAGCTCCATGGAAAGCATTTCTCTCTACTTGGGGAATTTAAGGCCATCCAAGAACATACATATTTGGAAAAGTACGTATGCACAAATAAAGCAAACTTTTTTGTCTAGTTACTAAATCACAATAAATTTTTTGCACTAATAGTGAACGTGAAAAGATACCAAGAAAAATTCACTGTGACGGTGTGTGAGCAAGGTTTCTGTCCCATTGTTAAAATTCTGATTCACCAAAGCAGTATTTTAATGGTATCTAAAAAGCTATTGTAATTTCAGGAACAACTAGGTGATACATTTTTCATACATATAAAAAAAGTTGAAATGAAGGAATAGCTTTGTTAAAAATGAAAATATAAACTCTAAAGTAACTTTGACAGGCCCAACACATCTGCTAGAGATATTGGTGCTAAGGATATGTGGTATCACATGATGGGTACCACATGTACAAGTATTTGTAGCAAAGAATCACCCCTTCTTTTCCTTGATGGCTAACTTARTGAAAAGGATTTCACTGTCATCTTTTACAGAGAGGGGTTCAGATGCAAAATATACAAACATAGTAACTAGGATTATATGTTGTCTACTTTATTTGGTTTTTCACTGGTGCTGTGGATTACTAGTATATATTTGGTTCAAATAGTTGAGTTTGATAATTGGAAAAAGATCCTGTTTGCTCTGTTTTGCTCTTTAGTTTTAATCTGCAAATAGATTACAGTTCTGACAACTGTGCAACTAAATTCATTTACCTCCTGAAATTCTGTTTTTATTTTGTTGGGCTAAGGTGGACTTTGCCCCATCATTGATGGCTCGTATTGTGTTGGAAAGGTTTCTACAAGAAAAAGAACAAGCCATCC